TGCAACTCGGTTTCCAATGTGTTGATTGATACGGGTGCATCTCATTCCTTTATATCTGCTGCATTTGCATCTGTTTTGGGGTTGGAGTTGGCGCAATTAGCATCTTCTATTTGTGTTGTATCACCTGTCGGGAGTGAGGTAATTTTGAAACAAGGGTGTAGAGGGTGCGATATAGAGGTCGCTGACCGCCGACTTCCATTTTCATTTTTAGTTATGGCTATGTCGGGTTTTGATGTTATTTTGGATATGGACTGGTTATCGTCATACCGGGCAGTTATTGATTGTTACCGCCAGAGGGTCACTGTTTGTACCTTGAGCGGGGATTGTTTCTATTTCTTGGGGGATCGGGTTGGCAATGTGTTACCACCAGTATATGATCTATGAGGGCAGAGTGAGCTTAGTGGTCTCCTCGCTAGCTTTATGAGTAGTGAGTGTGATGAGACCCAGACTATATTGCCGAGAGTGGTTTGCGAGTATTCAGATGTTTTTCCCGAGGACCTTGTTAGTTTACCACCTCATCGAGAGATTGAGTTCTCCATTGACTTAGTGCCTGGTACGGCACCGATTTCTATGGCACCTTATCGTTTTGCCCCAGCCGAGTTGAGTGAGTTGAAGATTCAACTCCAGGAGTTGATAGATAAGGGTTTTGTTCGCCCTAGTGTTTCGCCGTGGGGAGCACCGACCCTCTTTGCTAAAAAGAAAGATGGTGCCTTGAGACTTTGTGTCAATTACCGGAAGTTGAATCGGGCTACGGTTAAGAATAAGTACCCTATGCCTCGTATAGATGATTTGTTTGACCAGTTGAAGGGGTCCCGTTGTTTCTCTAAGATAGATTTGAGATCGGGTTACCACCAGTTGAGGGTCAAGGAGGAGGATATTCCGAAGACGGCATTCCGTACGCAGTATGGCCATTATGAGTTTCTGGTGATGTCATTTGGGCTCACCAATGCACCGGCAGTGTTTATGGACTTGATGAACCGGATATTCTGGGAATTCTTAGATCGTTTTGTGGTCGTCTTCGTGGATGACATTCTGATTTATTCGCCTTCGGAGGAGGAGCACGAGGGACACTTGAGAGTGGTGCTTGAGTTGCTTAGAGCCCATAAGCTATATGCCAAGTTTGGGAAGTGTGGGTTTTGGCTAAGAGAGGTTAAGTTCTTAGGCCATGTGGTTTCCGGGGAAGGGGTGTCTATTGATATATCCAAGATTGAGGCAGTGCAAGATTGGGCACAGCCTAAGAGTGTTTTTGAGATCCGCAGTTTTCTGGGATTAGCTAGGTATTACCACCGGTTTGTGAAAGATTTCTCCAGGCTAGCTTCACCGTTGACTAGATTGAAGCGGAAAGGGGTCAAATTTGTATGGAGTGAGACTTGTGAAAAGTCATTCCAAGAGTTGAAAGTTAGATTGACCACCGCTCTGGTTTTGATTATTCTGGAGAGAGGTTTGGGTTATGCGGTTTATTGTGATGCCTCACGAGAGGGTTTGGGTTGTGTGTTGATGCAAGAGGGGAAAGTGGTAGCCTATGGCTCACGTCAATTAAAGATTCACGAGAGGAATTACCCTACTCACGACCTAGAACTAGCAGCAGTAATTTTTGCCTTGAAGATTTGGAGGCACTACCTTTATGGTGAGAGATTCGAGGTATTCTCGGATCATAAGAGTTTGAAGTACCTGTTTACACAGAGAGACTTGAATTTGAGGCAGATGAGGTGGATGGAGTTCATTAAGGACTATGACTTCGAGTTGCACTATCATCCGGGAAAGGCCAATGTGATGGCCGATGCCCTTAGTAGGAAATCCATTAGTGATGTAGCTTGTATAGTCATCCGGGAGTGGGAGATGTTGGGTGCACTTGGCGAGTTTGATTTGCTTTTGGGTGAATCTATTGAGGCTGCGGCCTTGTTTTCTGTTGTTGCTCAGCCTACACTTGTGAGTCGAGTGCTAGAGGCACAGAGAGGTGACCTTGAGGTAGAATCCCTCCGAGAGAAGATTTCTAGTGGGAAGGCTGAGAATGGTTTGACTGTGTATCCCGACCTGAGTGTGAGATACCGAGACCGTCTATTTGTGCCGGAGTCTTGCCGAGAGGAAGTACTCCAAGAGTTTCACCATTCACGCCTTGTGGTACATTCGGGAGGTACCAAGATGTATCGTGATCTGGGTCGCCAGTTTTGGTGGCGGGGTATGAAGAGAGATGTGGCTGTGTTTGTGTCTAAGTGCCTTACTTGTCAGCAAGTGAAGGCCGAACATCAGAGGCCAGCGGGTTTGTTGCAACCCTTGCCTATTGCCGAGTGGAAGTGGGAGCATGTCACTATGGACTTCGTTGTAGGTCTTCCGAGGACTCAGCGAGGTAGTGATGCAATTTGGGTGATTGTAGACCGGTTGACTAAGTCGGCGCACTTCATTCCTATGCGTGTGAGAGATTTGGTAGATCATCTTACCAAATTGTATATTCGGGACATAGTGAGGTTGCACGGGGTCCCAGTGTCGATCGTCTTAGATAGAGATCCACGTTTTACTACTAGGTTATGGCAGAGTTTGCAGAGTGCCTTGGGCACTAGATTGACCTTTAGCACGACTTATCATCCTCAGACTGACGGGCAGTCCGAGCGTACTATTCAAATCCTTGAGGATATGCTTCGAGGTTGTGTCCTTGACTTTAGTGGATCGTGGGAGAGGCACTTGCCCTTGGTGGAATTTGCCTACAACAACAGTTTTCAATCCAGTATCGGTATGGCACCGTTTGAGGACTTGTATGGCCAACCGTGTAGGTCTCCAGTTGTTGGGCCGAGGTGGGTGATGCACCTTTATTGGGCCCGAAGTTGGTGAGGGAAACGACAGAGAAAGTTGAGCTTATCCGTATGAGGCTTGTTACAGCCCAAAGTCGCCAAAAGAGTTATGTCGACCGTAGGAGGAGGTCTTTGACATTTAAGGCGGGTGATCAGGTTTTTCTGAAAATATCACCTAGGCGGGAATTGATGAGGTTTGGGAAGAGTGGGAAGCTGTCCCCTCGGTTTATAGGCCCTTTCGAGATCCTTGAGAGGATTGGTGAGGCTGCCTACCGTTTAGTTTTGCCGCCGCAGTTGTCCGGGGTACATGACGTGTTTCATGTCAGTATGCTTCGGAAGTACGAGCCGGATCCATCGCATGTATTGAATTGGACCGACTTAGAGGTAGATGAGGATGTCTTGTATGAGGAGAGACCGGTTCGGGTGTTGGATAGGCGGGAGCAAGTCTTGCGAGGCAAGACCATTCCCTTGGTAAAGGTTTTGTGGAAACATCACGAAGTGGAAGAAGCCACTTGGGAACGTGAGTTGGAAGTCCGTGAAAAATATTCGGATATGTTTGTTGATGTGTAATCATGCATTGAGAATTTTGTAATATCGATGAACCCTGAGAGCATGGAAAATGTCTTAAGTTGTAAAACATTGTATATGTTTTGATTTATGGAAGTATTATGGGATTTGCCTTGAAATGAAAGTTTATTTTAACATTGCATATGTTAATTCTGTTTTAGAAATGCAAATATAATATTGGCATTGAATATGTTTTGTGATGCATGTTGATAATGCATGTTGGAGATTATATTGTGATTTGCCTTTTGAAAAGAGATGGGATGACCGGTAATGGGTCAGGTTGTGGAATGTTGGTTGGTAATGTCCTTGAGAATTGAGGAAAAACTTGTTTTTGAAAACTTGTACCTAATTTCGGGAGCGAAATTCTTTAAGGGGGGGAGGTTATAGCGATCTTGGTTTTCCCTTCCTTTGTTTATTGTATTCCGGACTTGGTTCCGTGGTTATGTTGTTATCTTATTCTCATTTTCATCCTTTACTCTTTGTATTTGAGTCTTGGGTTATGTTGGGCAGGTTTGAAACAGGTTGGTTGTGTTTAGAAACCTAGAGTTGATGCCCAGATTTTGGCCTTCACGCTCGAGCGAGCCATTTGTTGTTGCTTCTCCACTCGAGCGGGCGTTTTGACGCTCGAGTGTGAATATTCATCTCCTAGTATTTTGTCTTTGCAGGTCGTCGTACGCTTGGGCAGGAGTTTTGACGCTCGAGCGGGACCTTTCGTTTTTGTTCCTCCGCTCGAGCGGGGAGTCTGACGCTCAAGCGGGGACCATGGTCTACAAAACTTCTTGAAGTATGCAATCGATGCTTGAGCGGCGATTTTCACGCTCGAGCGTGAGTCTGTGTCTGACGCTCGAGCGGGGCGACGTATATATCAGTCCGAAGCTCGACTTTTTGGATCACTTTTTCACCTCATTTTCTCTCTCTTACTTTTCAAAACCTCCATTAGAGAGCCTCTCTCTCTAAAACACAACTTCTCTCTAGGGTTTGATCTAGTAGGAGTGATCTAGGGGTGTTCGCGGATCGGTTTTGTGCGGTTTGCGGTTCGGTTTTGACCCGCCCGCATCTATGCGGTTTGGGAAAAAGTCAACCCGCAACCGCCCGCAGTGCGGTTTGCTGTTTGTGCGGATAGGGTTTGCAAATGTGCGGGCGGGTTGCGGTTTTCACTTTTTTCTTTAAAAATTAATTTTCGAATTTTTTTTTCCCAGCGAATTTAGGCATCAGATTCATTTTATATATTTGTGATAACAATTTTTTGATGAGTTTACAAATAAAAATTGAATATCAATGCATTAAATGAAAGTACCCAAAACAAAGAGACCCTACACTAGCATTTTTGCCATGAAAAAAATGTATATCAATGCATTAAAGGTTGTACTCAATTAGAATTGCCAGTTCAGTAATCAATAATCAAACTATAAGTTCATAATTTAGGTTTCAGAGAGGTCTGAAGAGGAAGCCCATGGCCTTGATCAAGAAACTCCGCAAAGCGGTAATGATTTGTTATGTTACTTTGATTTGATTTGTACTTGGATGTTGTAATTTTGACCTGAAATCTGTCGTTTGAGTATGTGATTGTGATTGCTTCAGTTTTGTTCTAGGTATAGGTCTCTTTTTGATTTGGTAGTAAGTTTTAGATTAATGCTTGAGGCCTCGAAATTCTTTTTTTTTTTTTGCTGTGTGTTCGGTGTTTTTTTTTTTTTTTAATCTTTGAGCGCATTGGCTTGATATGAAATGCATAGATACTATCCCTCCATTCTTTTTTTCCATGATTCTCCTGAATGCTTGTTTCACACTACGTCTTGTGTTATTTCAATATGTGGCGAGATGAATGCTTCTGTTGTTGTCAAAAGCTTGGATATTTCGGTGGCTGCATTCTTTAGGTATTGTCTACGTCTGTCATTCTATGGACCATTGTGAATCTGTGGTGGACATTACACTTTATTCAGAAATAATTAAATAATTAAGTGGAATTGTTTCTGGTTTTGGGGTTTTACTTCTGTCTTGAATATATGTATGATCTTTCTATGAGCTGGTGTCTCAGATGAAATTGAAAGGTGCACTCTGCAGACTAGTGATTAGTTATTGCAACGCTTGGACTTTCATTTTGTTTTTTATTTTCAATTATTATTTACCAAGAAAAATTGAAGTTAGATGTGAACTACTTGTTAATGTAGGAACACTAAACGCATGAGATTTTTTCAAGCGCATTTTTAACACCAAAAAACTTATTGATAAGTATGTTATGATCCAATTTATCAAAATTTGAATGTTTGTAATGGTTTTAATCAATGTTGTGCACCTAAGAACATGTTTTCTAGATGTTATTGAATTTTAGGTTGGTTTTAAGGCTTAAAAAGTGGAGAATTTCGTCTAGTAGGGAATTGCACTATCTAGAGTATTTAGAAATGCTAGTAGAATAGATTAGATAATTCATAAAAATATAGTAATTGTAAGTCAATATTTGTTGTTACAATGGTAATACAAGTAATATGACAACACTAGTGGCTAATATAAGGTATGCTATATGTATTACCTCATTGATTCATGAGTTTACACGTAAAACAAATGACGTATATGACTCTTAATTTTTTGAATTAGTAGATTACCATTTAAAATTCATAGTTTTTATTTTAAATCAATAAGTTAGTAATATAGATTAATGAAATTAGGATTTTCAATTAAAGAATATGACAATGAAGAATTTAAAAAGAGGAAAATAATTTAAAATAAAAGAATAATTTGAGTGTTAATGTTTAAGGAAGAATAAGAGATTTTCAGTTTAGAGTTTTACTTTTAAACATTTTTAATGTCTTAACAGAGGTAAAATTGAATATCGTACCATAACAGTGATGTAATGGCTTGTAATCTGCAGTTGCGTGCAGCTTTGACTTTTTTTGTTATGGAGCTCCAAAATCCCTTTATGTAACAGCTATTACATAATGTAGTGGCCGTTTTTTAAACTCATGGTTGTCAGTCTTGATTGCACAGAGCCAAAGCTTTCTGGTTAATTCTGGTTGATGGCTTCAAGTTTAATATATAATGTCATGAGAACTAATTTGTTTACATTAGAAACACCTTGCATTGTATCCTCTTGTTTAGAGATTGAAAAACTTGGGCAAGTGATTGAATGTTTCCTCTTGGTTAAGTCTAAGCTTTGTTATGTCTTTTCTCTTTTGGTGGTAATAAAAGCTTACTTACCAAAAAAACAAAAAAAGAATGTTACAGATTACTTGACAAAAGCTATGATATGGATAAATTAAAACATAGAAAATGATACATTGTTTATTTTTCAGATTTAAAAATTCAAGTATTGTCATGTTGACAAAAATTCAAAACCTATTGCATATTTTTGCGTGTCATTTGTTATTCTCCAATCATGAAACACTAAGTTCTCTGTTTTGTTTACACATGCATGTCTATTACTTATTATTTTTTTTATACATGATTAGGTTCATGTATGCCTGTTATATCTTATCTTTTATGGATTTGTTTTATCTTAGCATCTTTTGTTTTAGTATGGCTGAAAAAATATGATATATATATATTGTACCTGTATCTGCGCCTGCGTCTGCACCTGCACCTGCTGCTGCTCCTACCTCTACAGTTACTGCCATGTGAGTATTTTTCTTCTTTGGTTAACTTGTGAAGACTGAAGAGCATGATTTTTTTTTGTCTGTTTATTTAATTTGGACAATACTGGTTACCTTTGTTAATCCAATAATGTGTGTTCAACCAGACCAGAGTCTAATGTCTATGGTCAAGCGGCATCGAATTTGGTTGCTGGAAGTAACCTTGATGGAGCGGTCCGGCAAATTCTTGATATGGGTGGAGGGACTTGGGATAGGGATACTGTTGTTCGAGCTCTTCGTGCTGCTTACAACCCAGAGAGAGCTGTTGAATATTTATATTCTGTCAGCGTCTTTACTTGTATTTGATCTCTTTTGTGAATTTATTTTTCAAATGGGAAGTGCAGAAGCATGACGAAAATTTTTGTTTTTGATTTACGTTATTTAGATTTGTGAACAACATTATGTATTGGATAATTTTGTTGATGTATTGTTATGAATGGAAGAATATTTTAATTATGGATGAATTATTATTTTTATACTGGACTTTTTATATTATTATGTAATTATTGATTTTTTTTTTTAGTTATTTTTCATTTAATACAGGTTATTTTCATATATTTATTTATTTATTTTTTGAGAGGGCAGTCCACTCACCTTCTCAAATAGGGGTTTTTTGCGACGGCAGTAATGCGTCGCAAAAGATAGGGCATTTGGTTGAAAATGAGGACTTTTAGCGACGGTGTAATTTGCTGTCGCCAATAGTGCTTTAGCGACGGCACCAAGTGCTGTCTCAAATAACCCTTTAGCGACGGTACTTGTGCCGTCGCAAATACCCCTTTTAGCGACGGCAAAACAGTGCTGTCTCAAAAAAATTTCAGATTTTCACACGTTAATGGCGACGGCATTTTTCCGTCGCAAAAGGCTTCTTTGCCGTCGCAAACCAAAGGCGACGGCGTCATACCGTCGCTAAAGCCCTTTTGCAACCCCCTCTGTTGCGACCCCCCACTTGCCGTCGCAAAAAACCTTTTGAGATGGCGTTTTGGGTATTTGCGACGGCATTTTACCGTCGCAAAAAATCAATTTTTTTGTAGTGTCAGGTCTACCTAAATAAAAAAAATAAAAAAATTGATTTAGTTAAATAGGTTGAGTTGAGAAGATTAGTGGGCTGTTTAAGTGTCATTTGCAAATTTAATAAATTTTAAAATATTAAGTTTGACTTGTTTAGAAAACCGGTTTATCGCTCTAAAGCAATCATTTTATGAATAATAATTGGATTTATTACACTTTATATCCTTAAACTATTATCAAATTGTATATTTAGTCCTTGAATTATCAATTGTGTTTATTAGGTTCCTAAAGTATATAAATCAAAATTTATTTAGTCCCTAAATTATCAATTGAATCCATTAAGTCCCTAAAGCATTTAATTAAAACTTATTTAGTCACTAAAAGGACTATAAAAATAAAATCTAAGCCCATAAATATTATAAATTATTAAAACACCCTATTTAGTTAAAAATTTATTTTAAAAAAAAAACCTTAAATTTTTATTATGTCTTTGAAAAGTTATATATTGAATTTCCTTTATAAGGATAAAGGCCTATAGTATTTTTTTTCTTATATTCTACAATAGATACATGCTTGCCTTAATATCTAATATTATATGTCAGATTTCGTTTATAATTTCTAATTGATTGTTTTTAAGTTTTTCGCTAAGTTCTTTTTATTACTTAATTAATATATTATTTTGTTCTATTACTATTTGTAGAGAAGTGTTATTATTTAAATTATCCAATAGTACTTTTTTAGTATTTTAATATTCATATAATCTATTGGTAAGACTAAAAAATCAAACTTTAATATCAATTTAAACATACAACTAAATAAAATATCTTTTAAAAACAAAATAAAAATTTAAAAAGATTTTTTTGTAATAAAATCTTAATTGGAGAGGGTTTTTTTACTAATTTATAATATGTATGGGTATATATTTTAATTTTGTAATCCTTTTAGGGACTAAATAGGTTTGAATTAAATATTTTAAGAACTTAATAAATTCAATCGATAGTTTAGGAACTAAATAGACTTTGATTTATATACTTTAAGGATTAAATAGATTCAATTGATAGTTCAAGGACTAAATAGATAATTTGATGATAGTTTGGGAGTATAAAGTGTAATAAATCCATAATAATTTTTTATTTTATCTTATTTTGTTTTATTTTATTTTATCAAATTTACATATCATACACCAACCATGCATCAAGCTAATCACAATTTTTATATATCCAATATGATTGCACATTTCATGTGATTTTTACTACACAAAATATATGTACTCTTCAATCCAAAAATTTAAAAAAAAAAAAAAAAAAAAATCGCCAACTTCTCACAGAGCTCAAATGCCTAAAACAAGAGAGACATGTTGTGACTCTGGCACAACTGAGTTTGTCGATATAGACGATCTGCTTGCCATGAAGGGTTTTGATGCCATATCTAAAGTCTTAATACACTAACACAAAACTCGTATCTCCAAACCCTGAATTGTCCACACACACACAAAAAACGTGAAAATTCAGATTCTATCATCAAAAATTTGTCCTTGGATCCTTAATCATAAACATAATAATAAAAAATAGCACATAAGACTGCTGCTGCATTAACATTTGAAATAGGGAAAAATTTGTATAAATAATCTCAATCGGCTTCCTTTTCACTTGCTAACTTAGTAAGTATTAACTTGGATCTTGCGACTACAAAAATTGAAACAAATTTTGTAACGCCCCAAAAATTTCGGTAGGATATATCTATTTATGCAACAAAGCCCACCTAATAGACAAACATATGAATATAGCATACTATTCCATACTTCCATTTCTGTTAAATCTCAAATGCCAAATACATACTGTTCACATCTCAATACCCCAATTCCAATCCCAAGCATGTATTTTACAACAAGTATAAAAATGAAAGCCAAACAGATAATAAGTGCCCTACAGGCTTACAAATTTATCCAAGAACATTCTTGGTTACACAAAATGGAGTTTCAACTCAACACAAATACAGCCCTAGGCTTACATTCAACAAATAACAATAAAACAAAAATGAAGCCTTGGCTCCGAGTCCTCCCAAGTCAATGCCTTGGCGGAGGCATAGCACCTGCACCTGAAATGGTTTCCATTATAGGGTGAGCCACAGCCCAGTAGAGATATACTACACAACATATGAACAATGACAAGACTAAAGAGGAGTATGCCCATGCCATGCTCATGATAAAACAATTTATCTCTCTTTTTATAAAGCATGCAATGCTGAGATGTAACAACAAATATAAAACCATTTCCATTTTAAACCATAACTGTTACATGAATACGGGCCCTGTGAATCTCTAGGTGAGTGTCTACAAGTAGGCCCTAATGCACTACCACTGTCATTTTTACTAGTAAATTGGAAGGCTCGACACCTAACCGCGCAGTTCTACACCCCTTACCCAGATTCACCAACTATTCATATTTTCCCAAACAAATACATTTCCAAACATTTCTCAAAAACAGATACATTTCCAATGAAATGAATGCAATGCAACGTCCAATGCAACAAATGAAGAATGTGGTTCAATTTACCTAAGTTTCATGCATTTCTACAACAATCATAGCTATCCTTCATCGATAGCCCAAAATAGATATTTCTAAACAGATATTTAAACAATTAAATTTCAAAAATTCCGATAAATACAACCTATTCCACATCTCATCAAATATGAACAACTACACTAGTTTTCATATCACAATCACGTCCGGTAACCTCTCAAGATCCATTTCTAACCGTGTTAGTTTTATTCCGACAGATACATTAAGCAAAATAATACCGTTAATGCCCAAGAAAACATCATTTTCTTTCCAAACTCATTCTCCAAGCATTATTCAACTATGACATCCTATTTTGATCAAAAACCCTAAAAGTTAAACGTAATTCCTTTGTTTTCTTTAAAAATGCTCTTTTGGTCACAAATCGGTAAAAATTTCAAAACCGATCGAATCGAAATCCGTTTTTGTTCAAATTTAAAACATAACTCTTTCATAACCTTACAAACATATTCCAAGTTTACACTTTCGCAATTTGGGCATCAACTCTTTATTTTTCTCAAAATTTCTCTTTTAAGCAAATAAATCACAAATTTTTCAAAAATTCTAATTAAATTATATACAATTCTAAATTCCATAAAATCAAGTAAAAGTACATAAAAAGGTGTAGGAAAATCCCTACCTCAAGCTAGAAGAGAATGGAAGAACACCCAAAACTCGGCGGTACGAAAATGCGATCTAGTATGATCAAAACATTGTCCTTAGCGTGCTCTAGCTTTTGGCCTCAAGAACTAGGGGTGGATTTGTACTAAAACTAGATGATAACAAGGTTGGAAAGGCTTGGATGCTCTCAAATTGTTATGGTAGTTCTTTCCCGCATCGACTAACCCTTTTATCCCAAACCATGCGCCATAGGTGAAGCAAACTCCCCAAGAGCCATACCATGATCCATTTGGTGTTTGTATCTTTTCAATGAATATAGCAGCTCTTTCAATACACTTTTCTATATCCTCTCTCCGATGCCCGGGGTATAATTTCTTAAATGATGTCAAAGCTTGAATTGTTGCTGAGGTACATTCCACATAAGGATAATCAATAACAATATCGCCAAAAGTTTTCGGCAGGGTTGAGCAGCTCCAACTAACTATAGGATCTTGTGAGTTCATACGTTGCAAAGCCACCATCGCTATTTTGTCATGCTTCATCATCTCAAGGTAACATTCACGGTGCATTGTGTGCCCACATTTCATAACAGTAGTGTCTTTCAGTGAGTCAAAGAGATACTCATAACATATAGGACAGTGGTGCCACATGGAGTTTTCCACACATAAGTGATTATCAAGCAGACCCAACGCATAGCATGATCCACACTTCTTGCAATGAAAAAAAAATTCTCACGACCACCAACTCTGCAGATCCCACAATCGTCACAATGAAATTGCCCTTTGTCAATATCATCATTGTACGATTTGCACACTTCGCGGAAATATTCTCCCATATCGACTCCACAATTGGTACAGACATGTACCACTGGCTGCTCTGTATCGCAAACTGAGCAAATAACTTGCTTAACATCGGTCCGAACAAGTTCATGCCGATCAAAGGGGCTGCTCAATATGCTCGTGGATTCATTGTGACAATGACGACAATCGAATACTTCATTGCAGCAGGGAGCTCTGATCTTGCATCTTCTCCTATAATGCTTGCATCTATAACCGTTTTGCATCTAGTGGTTCATCAACAATGTCTGATGGCAGTTTTGATAATAGTAGAGCAGCTTTTAATCCTTCAGCTGTGCAGTCAGAGATAGGCCATCCATGGTCTGCAGTTGAGAAAGGCCAAGCACCTTTTGAACCCCACTCCGGCACCTCCTCTTTATTTTATCATTCACTCCCCCTCAATCTCTCTCTCTTTTTTTTTTTAAACATTTTCCCACCGAA